ATCACCAGCGGAACGCGATGTGATCTGACAGCAGTCATGACAGTGCCACAGTGGCCAGTAGTGTCTCTAACTGACAGTTTAAGTAGCGCACAGTGGATGTCTGAAACAACAAACTCCTATCTTCAGTGTCACGTCATAAAATCATACAGAGAGCAGCATAGCGCATCTGCATACTGAAAACACACCTTCAATGAATCACCTGCTGTAAAAATAACGACACGCTCGTAGCGCGATAAAATACAACACCAAAATGGGCGTCATTTTACACCTATACCGAGGATACAAATCTAACCTACCAGCTCCTCTGTTTACCTCTGAACACCTCCTCTTCTCCTCCTCTGTACAAGCCTCTGTAAACTGGCGCTACCGTAGCCCATAGTTGATCCTGAACCTACCCTCCCCACCGCTGACCGACCACAGAACAGCAATATAGCCGTGATTGACATTTGGCAGCACAGGGCACTGGCCGGCGCGTGTGTTGGGCGTCCTCAGTCCACCTCTACCGGGACCGGTGGAGGTGCTACTGCTTGTTCTGAGACTGGTAGAACTCGGCGATGATTTTCCAGGCGCGAGGAGCCATAAAGCCGTCAGGGGCTGTTGCCCGGAACGGGCCAGACCTGCGGATGAGGGGGGGGGGGTCAGTCAGGCCGGGTGAGGGGGCAGGTCAGCTAGGGGTCACGGGGGATGTGAACGACAAAATGACAGTTGGTGACAGACTAGGGGAGTGACAAACACAGCCCCAGTGACAGTGACTGAGTCGAGAGAAAAGGTAGATAAACGTCAGGTGTGACTGTAAGTGGAGTCGTCCATCCCCGCCATCAATCAGCCCGGCGTTATCTAACGCACCCACCGGTCCCTGGCGCTGCCGCAGTGACAAGATATTGACGCACAAGGTCAAAATCTCGGTCAAAATCTCCCTTCTCAGGTATCTCTATCTCTCTTGCTTTTCGACTGCCTCACCCAAAGTCACTACGTTACTCTTAATCACTCAAGCTCTCCTCTTAATCCTTCTTTGCCATCTCTCTTTATGCATCCCACCCATCTCTCCCAACTCCCACCTTCTAACGAATCCCTTACCTCTCATCTTTGTGCCCGAGATGAACTCAAAGTTCTCCCTCTGCGCTGGGTCGAAAAAGTCCATCTTTCCCAGCTGCTTGTTGTAGGCGGCCACGCGGAAAGGGATGATCTCTAGCTGTTTGAGGCCTGGAGCCATCGTCAGGACCTGGTGGGGGCCAGGCGAGTCAGCATTCCAGAGCACACTTGTAGCATAAGGAAACAAGGCAGTGTATATCAACATACACCAAAGCTTATAACTTGATTTTTCAAAGAATGTGTAATCCTTCCTTATTCTCTCTCCTGCAGCTTTCTTCCCAATATTCTCTTACCATTCCCTATCATTACTTTCAACGACCTCCTTTTTCTCCCATTACCTACTCAGTCCTTCTCTTCCCCTTTCTCTATCCTTCTTTCCTTCCCCTCACTCACTCACCCACCCACCACTCACCACTCACTCACTCACTCACTCACTCACTCACTCACTCACTCACTCACTCACTCCCTCCCTCCCTCCCTCCCTCCCTCCCTCCATCCCTCCCTCTCCCTCCCCTCTCCGTACCTTGCTGCCGTGAGTCGGCTCATACAGATCCCCACTTCCGTCGGGGTGTCCCATGCCGGCCGGATCCCTCCCGACGATATAGAAGGTCGCTCCTGTACACATGCGGGCCTTCGCGTGCCATTGGACCTCCGTCGGACCGGCATACATCATCGGCGACGGAAATATGGCTAGGACGGTGGCCTGGTCCAATACGCCGTCTTCGAGGATCGCCTGGTGTTGCTGCATGCGTGTGGCGAGCGGGACGTCGTCGTCTTTGGTCCAGCCGCCCAGAGGGTGGAGAAGGAGCACTGGCTTCTTGTAGCCGCGCTCGAGCAGACGACGACGGGTGTCCTGCGGGAGGGGGGGGGAGAGGTTAGTGGGCCGTCAATCCTGTGAAACTAGAGTAACAACATCATTTACTGCAGTCATAACACGAAATATACGTTAGATGTGTATGGTGAATGCGAAAAAAAAACACAGAAAGCGATATTTGCCGGATACTCGTCTGCTGAGTTTACTTTGATATCCGAAGTCGATGTTCGAATAATATTCGTCAGTCAGTATTTGTCCGATATTTTTTGGAGATTCTGACCTGCATGAGCAGCGCGTGCCCGTTGTGGATGGGGTTCCTCAGCTGGAACGCGAATACTGCGTCCGCCTCCAGCTCACGGAACCTGAGAGAGGAATACAGACAGGCAAATGTCGTAACAGACAGTATAGAAATACAAATAGTCGCACAAAACGTGTACATCTCCACTTCTCAGAACGTAAGAGCAAATACCATAGTACATCTCCCAGAAAGTGAGAGAAATGCGGACACATTGCCAGGCAGCCATAGAGACACAGCCATACGAGCGCCACCCCGAACTACATCTGACTAAACCAGAGAAACAGGTACATATTGAAAGTTCTAGATACACACAGTCCTTCAACACCGCGCTCTCAACTCCATCTCACTGAACCATGAAAGCAAGCTATGAAAAAATCCATACCGCGGCGTCCTACAGGCTACAGCGACCCCATACCTTGCGCGCAGTTCGATGGGCGTTAGTGGCTAGTGAAATGATCCATACCATACCATACCCCACCATGCGTCGTGCCACACCATGTCACACACCCATACTTGAGCGCAGTTCTATGGGTGACCCCACTTCTCAGGTACTTAGTTAACTAAGTACCTGGAAATGAATGGGAATGAAGAAATGAAATGAAATGAAACTGTGTGTAGTTAACTGTACGATACCCCTTAGGTACCATACCCCGCCCTACCTCTGGCGCAGTTCAGTGGGCGTCAGTCTGTACTGGTCCAGGCCGTCTCCCACTTGATACGGCCCAACACGTCCAGGTCGCCGCCGACCAGCCAGTCGCCAGAGTCCAGCACCATCTGTCGGCAGCAGAGCCAACTTCAGTCTACAGAGATACACGTCGGTGAGAGAGGAATGTTGTTATTAGTCGCACATTATGCTCGATGCTCATGTCGGTAGTCTTATTTCGAAAATCATATTTAACCAGCAGACTTCTTGTTCTGTAAGCAACAGACAAAAGATTACAACAGCCGGGTTTCAACAGTTAAAGGGACTATCCCACCTTCTAAAATGTTGTTAAAACCAGTTAAATTGTGCCCGACTTTACAGATTGGATGACCAGGAACACGGTTCTGGCATTATTTTTCATTTAACATCTTAGGCTTCCCATATTCCAAACACAAACTTTCAAATATGTGACGTCACAGCCCAAAATTACCTCCTTCCCCAGGCCACATTACTGTCATAAAGCTCATTCTTTTTACTCTGTAGGCACCACAACAAAGTTCAGACCAAGTTTTAAGCGATTTTTCAACGAACAAACCCATTTAAATCAGAATGACTAAACGAGGTGACGTCACACTAACGGTCGCTCCATGTTGAAGATAGGGCCTTGTACAAGGCCCATTTTCAAATGAAGGGAACGAATTTCTTCAACACCAGAGGCCGCGGGGGTTGCAACCTAGATATAGTGGTTTCTGAACCTCGCCGCAAACTTGGCTATCTCAACTCAAACCCCATGTTAAAGGTGGGATAGTCTCTTTAAACATGTAGCGAGAACGCATGACAAGTCCGCGTGAAATCAAGGTTCGACAACCAATCGCGGACAACGTGACTCTGCTGTCGCATACGGGATATGTGCCTGCTTCATTTTCTTCCAGTAGCATTTATCAATCCTCAGCCGCATTAATATAGCTAGCTGCTCCTAAGCCAATAACTTGAGCCTAAATAATGATCATCAGTCTCCCCACCCTGAACATCCTCCCAATCCCTCCCAACTCCCAACCTATCCCCGTCCTTCCCCACAACCGCACCTTGACGTAGGGGTGTCCGGGTTGGTGGTGCCTCCCTACCCTCACACCGCACCTTGACGTAGGGGTGTCCGGGGTTGGTGGTGCCCCTACCCTACCCCCCCCCCCATTCCGTCCCTACCCTCACACCCACCTTGACGTAGGGGTGTCCGGGGTTGGTGGTGCCCCTACCCTACCCCCCCCCCCATTCCGTCCCTACCCTCACACCCACCTTGACGTAGGGGTGTCCGGGGTTGGTGGTGCCCCTACCCTACCCCGTCCCTACCCTCACACGCACCTTGACGTAGGGGTGTCCGGGGTTGGTGGTGCCCCACTGTCGGGCGCACCGCTCCTCCTTGCGGTGCTCGAAGAACTCGGGTTTGCGCAGGATGGCCACCGGTCTCCCGTTGTACCTGGGAGGGGAGCATATGCATTATGCAGCGTTAAGGCCGCCCCACACCGGAACTCGCATGCGGGTTGCGAGTTTGCGGGTTTTGAGTTTGCGGGCAAAATACTAATTCAGAGTGATTACATCGTTCCCTTATGGTCACTCCATGAATGCAGTGGAGCCGGGACACTTTTAAAAAAAAATTACATATTGTCGAAATACCAGCATAACGAAACAAAATTCGACTCCAACGAAAAACTCGCAGACCTCGCAGAACCCGCAGACCTCGCAGCGAGGAAAATCGAAAGTTGACTTAAAACCAACTTTTGAAATGCGATGCAAGGTAGCTCGCAAGCTAAAACATGCAGACTCGCTTGTTAGATGGTAGTGTGGGTCATTCAGCTTAGATTGTATTATTTGATTTGGAAGAAACCCGAAAACCCAAAACTCGCAACCCGCATGCGAGGTCCAGTGTGGGGCGGCCTTTAGTTGGAGTTAGGTTAGGTGAGTTAGGTGGAGTTGGAGTTAGGTGCAACGTTAGGAGTTAGGTTAGCTTAGAAAACGGCGGAGAAAAGACTTACTTAACTGTAACTTGGATGGTGACTTAACATGGAAATTGAAACGGGTATGAATTTACGGGGATGGTAAATTACATGTGGCGACAAAGGGATGGGAGAAGACATGGGACACTAGGTCACTGGCGATAGGGAAATGGGTAATAAAACGGGAGAGATTGGTAGGGGAGGATTTTACTTCTACCTTTGGATTTTACTTTCACCTTTGGAGAACTACGAAGTATCAAGTAATCTTAACCAGCCTGAGCCAGTGAACATGTTAACTACAGAAAACACATTTCACAACACTCAGTGTCCGATATCTCCTCAATGAGAATGCATTGCACACATCAATTTGAGAAACGAAGCCACCAACCCCCTCCCCCCACGTTCCCTCTTACCGCCCTTGAATCTCCTTTGCCACAGCTTCACGTCACACCCTCAGTCTTGGAATTCCTTGACCGTCAACTCTCGTAAGCAGTAACTCTCGAATCAACGCCCAGGTGGCTAGCATGACATATTGTTAAAGGGATTTGTCCGACTTCGGACATTTAACTACACACGTAGACTCAGCCCATCACGCGCCCCGGGTATCTCACCTCAGTGTTATGGCCGGCTGTCCAGCGAGCCGCTCCTTGTCCGCCGTCTGCACGGCCAACACGATCGGCACCGACTGGTTGGTGACGCCGTCATCCAGCAGGCAGTTAAAGTGCTGACTCTGAGCAGTTGGAATATCACAAGGACGAGCGGACGGACGGACGGACGAGGGGAGGGTAAAGATGATTTCAGACGTGATAGACAGATGGACGGACAAACGGAGGGAGGACAAATATGATTTCAGATCCCATAGACAGACGGACAGGCGTGAGGGAGGGTGAGAATTATTTCAGACAGACAGACAGTTGTGAGGGAGGCAAATATTATTTCAGACACGATCCACAGACGGACGGAGAAGAATGTGGGGAGGTTGATGGTGGTAAAGGGTAGAGATGAAGAGAATTGAGATGATGTCGGCAGCAGCAGTCGCGGGGACGGCACCAGCACCATCGTTGGTGAGTTTGGAGAGTGTATTTCAGCAGCAGCGGAGACGGCAGCAGCACCATCGTTGTTGAGTTTCGAGATGAGGAGTGCGAGTAGACGTTGGCGGCAGCAGCGGAGACGGCGATGGCGACGGCAGAAGAGAAGAGAGAAAAAAAGAGAAGCGTTAATATTGGTTGTGGAACACATAAACATCAGACAACATCAGATGCAATAGGTGATGCTCGCAACCCAGAGAGCGGCGAATAAGTAAGAAAACAAGGTGCAAAACCTATAAGGTATTTTGATCTACAAGCTTCCCGCGTCCAAAAAATTCGAAAGTACTGTTATGTATGCCTGCATTGGAAGCTGATATCGCGCTGAAACAATCAAAACTGTTCGACTTCTCTCACCGCATCCTACGCATATTCCATTAAACAATATGTCATGCATCGCTGCAAAATGGCGTTCGTCGTAAAAATTATATCACCGCGGTGAATCTGAGCGGTAAGAATCACTATCAGTCCTGAAGTTTCTCCTGGAGTGGGTAGTACGAACCTGAAGGTACTCCCTCTCGCGCATGAAGCCGGTGAGCGGGGTGGCCCAGCCTTCAGAGAGCACCTGCACCTGCAGCCAGACACACAAACACGGTCAGACTAGGGGTCATGGTCCAGCCTTCAGAGAGCACCTGCACCTGCAGCCAGACACACAAACACGGTCAGAGGTACCCACTGTAGGTCCAGCCACCCCATACCTTCCTTATATTGATGTCCCCTCGCCCCCCCCCCCCCCCAACTTTCACAACCGAGACCTCTCCGACATTCTCAACCAAGTATAAGGGCCCTTCTGTTCCATACCCAATCGCTGTGAAGGGCCAACAACCTGCATGTTCCTTCATTCCCAAACCTTATCCTCTGCAGTCTGCAATACTCCCCAACCCAAGCTAGTCCCTCCCGTCCCAGACCTACCCACTATCCCATACCTACCCACTGTCCCAGACCCACCAACTGTTCCAAGCCTTTCCACTATCCCAAACCTACCCACTATACCAGACCTACCCAGACATACCACAAATCCACCACCTGCCCCACACCTACCCACTGCAGGTCGAGTGTGTTGATGTCGACCGCCGGCAGCCGTCCAGCCTCCTCCGTGGCCACACTCAGCTGGTCAGCCGGGACGAACAGCTCGCCCACCGTCTGACTAGCCGAGCGGGGCACGATACCCTGGGGGGGGGGGGGGATAGGGGTCAGAGAGGGGTCCGGCACGAACAGCTCGCCCACCGTCTGACTAGCCGAGCGGGGCACGATACCCTGGGGGGGGATAGGGGTCAGAGAGGGGTCCGGCACGAACAGCTCGCCCACCGTCTGACTAGCCGAGCGGGGCACGATACCCTGGGGGCGCGGAGAGAGGGTCAGAGAGGATCAGAAGGGTCACAGATGTCAGAGGGGTATGAGGGACCAGAGAAGGGTCAGAAGGGTCATAAGGGGTCAGAAAGGTCACAGAGGCAGGGCAGCGGGGTCACAGGGGGCCAGAGGGGTCACAAAGAGTCAGAGAGGCCATCTGCGGGGCACAGAGGGTTGTGGTTAGTGACAGACAGATTTGAGGGTCAAGTTGAGTAACGGGTCAGATGTGTAGGGTCTGAGGGGTGATGAGGTTACGGTTAGTAAAGGGTCGGAGTCGGAGTAAAGGTAGTCAGCGAGTCGGAGCGCCGGACATCCCAGTCGATTGGCAGGGGATCACGATTCATTGGTCAGTATTCAGTGATGGACATTGGACAGCAATTACTCGTAAGTGGACAATGAACGGTCACGATCAATTTTCAGCGGTCGTTGGTCAATTTACTATATTCAATAATTTAACATAGGTCCATGGTGAGCGGTTACCGATAACCAGTGGAATTCAGAGCCTAGTAAACGTATCCCTCCTCTCACTCACGTGAGCGGTGAGCAGATCCCCACCTGATCGACGCAGTCCTGCACGCTCCGGTTGGCAGTGTACAGGGTGATGTCCGGGTTGGCGGGGCGTTCATACGGCGCGTCAATTCCCGTGAAACCTGCCAATGGTAAGATATACGTCAAATCAGTCTACTAAATTGGCTAAATAAGATACATGCTGGAGACGAATGTAAAATGATGATGATTTGGGGTCTTAGGGCGCCTCAACTGCACGTCATCGGCGCCCAGGATAAGGTGAGATAAATGTTGATCAATGTTTAAAGCAAATTCTAGGTGGGAAGGTGTGGTGATTGAATCAAAGAGACGAACGTCGGATCCCGAAATACAACACCCATTTTATGTCTAATAAAATCTTTGACTGTCCACACTCCATACCCAAAGGGGCTCCGAGCATTCTTCCACATTTCTCAGTTCCCACAAAGGCAGCACATGCTACAGCCAATACAGATTTTTCATTGTTTTTAACCGAACTCTTCACTAAATAACGCCGAAATCGGCACTTCCTGGCCACCGAACTGAAGTGAAGCAAGTACGCACCCTTGATGAGACCCTGGCGCGCCTTGTTGTAGAGGCCCTTGACGTCACGCGACTCGCAGACATCCAGCGGTGTGTCGACGAAACACTCGTAGAAGGGCAGGTTCGAGTCGCCGTGCAGCTTCCGCGCCACATCGCGGTCCTGTGACGTCATAAAATGGCGACCAATCAGAGGCGGCAAACAGGTGATGGGAGGCGAACGAGTGTCCAGTCACAGTGGCAAAACACATGAATGTTGTAACTTTTCTGGGTGTGAGCACTGAACAGCCAGTTTATACGCATTGTCATTTACAAGGGATTTTGTAAGACATTATCATATTAGACCCTAGAGAACTGAGGAAAAACTGTCCATCTTCTCACTTTAACATACCTTGGCATAGGGCGAAACGAAACTGCACAGTGCGACCACTCCGCTGTCGGCAAACAGCTTGGCCACCTCAGCGACACGGCGGATATTCTCCTCCCTGGGGGCAAGGGTCAAAGGTCACACTGAGGTCACCGCTGGAGAGTGAAGGTCAAACAGAGGTCACTGGTGCAGGGCGAAGGTCGCGTCAGGGTCAGCAGGAGCCAGGAGGGGAGCCTTCGGCGCGATGGTTTTTGGATCTTTGATTTCATCTTTACAGTGGTTTTATGTAGCCAGTGCAAGCAAGCGGAAGAACTAGGGGAAATCAGCACGTTCCCATGAAGTGAGACTTCATTTAATCGCTAAAAATAGCACATTTCGCACATTTTTACGCCTCGTGTCTGATCCATTCCCTGCAGTTTCGGAGGCTCGTCCTCTCCCAACAATCACAAGCCACTTCGCATTTTTCTCCCAGCTAATAAAAGCAAAACAAAATCCTTTCTAGCCCCCAAAATCCAGAATTCTCTCAATCTAGACCATACTCTGTTAGTCTCAGCTGCTCTTAACCCTCTGTCGCCGCCCACGAAGCAACAGTAAAAGAAAAGACAACAGGAGCGAGTGTAGGAACCATCATGTCCTGGCAGGACTACATCACCAAGCAGTTGCTGTCCACGAACCTGGTGAAGGATGCACTGATCGCCGGGGCGGATGGCGCCATCTGGGCCCAGAGTAAAAACCTCAAGGTAAGAGCTGGTCACACTCACCAAAAGGTGAGCACTGGAGTGAGAAGTAACCACCACGAGTCAAACTTAAATCTATGTGATTTACCATTCGAAATGGTTTGAAAGAGTTTCTTTTTTCTACAAAAAAAGCTTAGCAAATGCGAAGTGATTGCATGCTTAGCTGGCACACCACGGGAAATTGAAATCACCACTTTATGTTATACCATAGCACTACCACCAGCGGCATTCGATATCTCTTAGGTACATTGGCACTGGCGTATGATGTTATTTCCCGAACGTATCAGACAGTTGTATCCAAAAGGTCACGACGGCATCAATGCCAAAGGACTAATCTGAATCTAAATGAAGTCTAGTCGGAACATGTCTATTGCAACATTGAGATAAGCAATTAGAGATAACTAAACCAGTAAACCACTGCCGAGGTCGGTGATAGATTCAATCAGTCGCCGCTCTAACGCAATTAGAATGAGATCATTAGGGACACATCGTCCTCATTCATTTCTCGTCAGCTGAGATGACCGCGTTTCCATATCAAAACATGACACCATGGATTTATTCTGCCCTAGATCGCTCTAAATATTCGACCCGACCTGTAACTACCAAATGCTGTAAACTCATACCTAGATAGGTTCACTAAGTGAACAATGTCATGCCTACCACCTACGTATGTATAACCGATTCGTAGCCTCCTTCCCATGTTTGACCTGACCAGGCATTACCTCCGTTATTGTCATTTTGTCTGGACAGTCGACGAAGGAGGAGCTTCAGCCGATCATCAAGGGAATCAAAGACGGAGGCGGAGCCCTGACCACCTCCGGAGTCAAGTTCTCAGGTGAGAACCCTGGACTAGGATCCCAGCGAGAAGTTTATAATAACGCAGAGAATAAACTTGAAAGCTGGTGCTACTCGTGTGAGAACTTGAGCTAAGCGTCAAAAAAGAAAATTAGTGATAACGTCTTGTAAATATGATGAAACCGTTGAAGGCATTATCTAATATCAACACATTGACAATAACTTCGAAAACACATCGTACCTCTTGAAAACATAATATCCCATAAGATACTGAGGTAAGAGGGCTGTGGGGAAATACGGCCAGACATCATCTCATGTTCTCATATCTCATGGACGGACCATTTTTCGCTGGGATGACCGGTACTCAAGCAGATTTCAAGAGGGAATTTCGGGGCGGTTTTTGGGGCCTGACTACACACACATTCATGCCTATGTATGTCAAGTGATAGACATACACCGTCGCTATCGAGTGGCGCCGGGCCGAGTGCTGTACTTTGGCCCCTCGGTGCTGATAACATACAAATGAACTAATGTTACATTATGCCCATGAAAGGACACTGATAAACGGTATGTGAACGGGCCCCCAGCATAGATCAATGAAACCGTATGACGTGTTTTACATTTTATAGGGTATGATGAGAATATTGGTGGGATACTCAGGCTGGGTATGGGTATCAAATTTGAAACTGTACGAAATCATCCGCTGGGTTACGGTCGATGCTTCACTTCTTTCGATCCCTTAGCCTTCAGAAATGGATTCGTTACGAAATATGACATGCTCTATGAATGATATTGGTTGTAAGGGGAATTCGAATGTCCATTTGATCATTCAAAATAACTGCAAGGGAATATTATAATGGATTTGAATGATGGTGGAAGCGCTAAAGATTCGAGCTATAACATGCGTCTATTAGAGGGTTTTGCGCCTGACGGATCAATTTAATTTCATGCTCAAACATATACCACCTACTGTACTGACATCATCGAAACTAACACTAACCCCCTCTCCATCCCCTCCTTCCCTCCCTCTCTCTCGCTCTCCTCCCCCTCTTCCTCCAGGCACCAAGTTCATCTTCCTCTCCGGCAACGCCGGCAAGTGCATCCGCGCCAAGAAGGCCAAGGTGGGTCTGCACGCCGCCATGACGGATAAGACGGTGGTCGTATCGCTGTACGAGGACCCCGTACAGCATGGCGAGTGTGCCGCCGTCGTGGAAAAGTTCTGCGACTTCCTCAAGGGTAAAAACTACTGACTTCTGGGAACGGCTAGAGCTACTGACTTCCCTAGAGCAAGAACTACTGACTTCCTTAGAGCAGAAACTTGACTTTTTCGAAAGCAAGAACTGTTGGATTTCTCAATGACGAATAACTACTGGCTTCTCCAACGGCAAAAACTGCAGACTTTCTCGAGGGCACGAACTGCTGACTATCGTAGAGCAAGGACTACTGACATGTCCAGCTGCTGCGGCGACGGCCGAGGTGTTGAGAAAGCACCAGAGATTGGTGTTAGATATAGGCGGTGGTGGTGTTTTGTGTTTCGTAGTGATGTGCGTTCAATGATGGAACCTAAACGATGAACGAATATCGGTCGCACGTAGAAATGGATCTTCTGCAGGGATGGGGAAAGTATAAAAGTAGTCACAGGGTGTAAATATGGGGAGGAGACGGCGACTCCTATTCTAGTAAGCCGCCTCCGAAGAGCGCATACCTACAGACGCCGTCATGTGCATGACTTGTTAAGAGATTCTCGGGGGCAGAAGGCAGTAGTTTATTGAGGCAGTTTCACGAAAGAGAAGTAACTTGGCAGCGAAACCGCGTGGATACACAAATTCAAACGATAACTCAGTACAAGGGGGCTTTTTGTGATCTGCCCTGTTTGACCATCCAGCGCATCCAGCTACTTTTGAGACGAATCTGACAGCATCGTTAAATTGACGGAAGCGCCGAGCAGTAAATTATCTATTTGTTTATAACCAGTAACCTAAACCACACCAATAAACGAGCAGAAAATATACCTAGTGTTACACACAGTCCTAGTCTCGGTTTAAATAATCAGCTATCTCATTTGTTTATGATTAGCTTTAGAAGCAGCGCTCTCGGTGAAGACCTCCACCCAGATCATCCTCCGATCTCTCCAGCATAACCATGTCGTGGCAGGATTACGTCAACAAGCAGCTGCTCGCCACGGGCTCGTTACGAGACGCCCTCATCATGGGTATGGACGGCGTCATCTGGGCTCGAAGTACTGGACTACAGGAGGTGAGAGGCGGCTGGAGGAACAGGGGTGGGGGAACAGGAGGGAAGGGTAGGACATGGGGAGTGGGGTAACAGGGGACTGAGTGGGATAAGGGGAAATGATGGATAGGGAGGATGGACGAACAAGAGGAAAGTCATGCTGCGTGGAGAATACGGCGAAATGGAGGAGAAGGTGATTGTGGAGGAGGGGAACTGCGGAATGGGGGAAATGATGAACCATGGGAGAAATGATGAAGCAGGATAAAGAATAAGAGAAACTGTGGAAAGAGGGACGTGCAAAACATGATTTTTGGGCCATAGATGACGAAAAACCGAATAATGCAGCCTACCATAGCCTCCTGCACACTAGAGGTCTTATAACTTTATGGATTGGGAAGTAAAGAACCCAGCCCTGACCCTAGCCTCGCGCTGGCTCCCTGTTACCGTCAGACCAAGCCTGAGGAAGTACAAAACCTCCTAGCCTCGCTGAGCGACGGAGGAGCGACTCTGGAGGACGTCGGAGGCATCAGAGTGGCAGGTAACGACGGCACACCCGGTCAGGTCAGGTCAGGTGAACGTTTGGGGGGGGGGGGGCGCCCGGGCTACAGTGGTCATCGGCGCATGTAAATGTTTGGTGAACGGGATTCCGCCACATAACAGAAGTGAGCGATTGGATCAGCCTAGCGGTGATCGAGATGAGCTTGACTGAATAACAGACCGACAGTGATTGAGAGTGTAGGGCTAGAGTAGAAATTGCTGTAGTTAACGTCGCATAGATCGACGGTCCCGCGATGACCAAACCATGCCACACACCCATGTCACCGTGTCATCGTCTGATGATCGGAGGTCGGGTAATACACATCCAAGAGATATGAAGGTAGACTGTAGAAGACCTAGCAAACACATCCGACCCCTTCCTTGTTACACCAGTGTAGTATGGACCACGGCCCGCCAGGCCCCAAGAACCACGGCACTGTCTTACCTACCATTGTAGACACACCTGGCCCGACCATCAGCCGATATTCTGCTGACATTACCCAGCTGGTGGGTCTATAAACCAACTCAATCAGCCTGCGGTTTGTCACGACTGGCGACCACCTGTGAAACCACTGCAGTCACCAAATGTACCCCATTAGGGGCTCCTGTGATAACTAACAGTTACCACAGGCCGGTTTACACGTCACAATAGCGACGCCACTCGACCACAACTCTCAGCATGACAGCGCGGCGTAAAACGCTGTCTGTGAGGCTAATTTGTGAATCATGCGTGGTTTTCTATATGGTTCAAATTTGTGGTGAATGGCTAACTAATAGCCAGTTAGCTGACTCTCTCTCTCTCTCTCTCTCTCTCTCTCTCTCTCTCTCTCCTCTCTCTCTCTCTCTCTCTCTCTCTCTCTCTCTCTCTCTCTCTCTCTTTCTCCCCCTCCATCTCCCCTAGGCACCCGGTACCTGTACCTCGCCGGCGAGCCGGGCGTCTTCCTCAGCTGTAAGCGGGCCGCAGTCGGGCTGTACGTGCGCCAGACTCAGCGGGTGGCCATAGTAGCCCTGTACCAGGACCCAGCCACGCTACAGCAGTGTGAGGCGTGCGTCACCAGCCTCTGCCACTACCTCGGCAACAAGGGCTTCTGATCCTGGTCCTACGCGGCCTCAGCGGCAAGGTCGGAGCTACAGTCTACCTCGGCAACAAAGAGCTATGGACGGTCCTTCGCTGCATTGGCAGCAAAGGATTCCGGTCGCGCTCTTGACGACCCTAGCTTTCGCAACAAGGGCTTTTGATCGCGGTCCTTCGCTGCAATGGCAACGAAAAATGCCTATCTGAGCTACTCTAAACTCGGCAACAAAGTCTTACGATCGGGGTATTCCTCTACATTGGACTGCATCACCGCAATCACTGCAATCAGTGCACCACTGCAACAAAGGATTCTGTTCGCGCTCTTGACGACCCCAGCCTCTGCAATAAGGGCGTCTGATCGGGGGCTGCCTCAAAGTTGTCCACAAGGACTGCCTCTGCCTACGCAGCAGGGGCTTCTGATTGGGTCACTGCGTGCTTCACTGCCTCGGCAACAAGAGCTTCTGAATAAACATCAAATGATTTCGATTGGATCGGTACCATCAACAGCAAAGATGCCGGTTCTGGTACTTCCTTTGCAACAAGGCTTCTGATGGAGATTGCCACTACCTCCTCAGCAATGACATTCGTTTGGACCCGTCCAATGGATCCGGCCGTCGTTTACAATAGCAGCAATGGCTTCTGACGGTAAATTTAATGCTGACCTTTTCGTTGATGATAGGGGTTTCCAATGAAACACTGACCTAAGGCAACATTTGTGTTTAAACCGCGCTTCATCTACTTCGCAAACTGCAATTTTAAGCGTTCACCAGCAGTGCCGCTTTGTAGGGGGCTTCTTTGGCGTGTCCTGAACTGTGTTTGACAAAAAGGGTCTCTGTTGCTGATCACGAAGACAGTTTCTGATGAACAAAGTTCCTCAAGGCATCTGTCTTTCCTTCCTTATCAAGATATTTGAAACGGGCCGTTACATTACAGCTTTCTTGTGCGTGTTAGTAACGATAAAAGTATGAGTAAAAAATGGTCAGCTTATTCTGAAGCAGTGATAAAATTAGCATAAAAGAAACCGAATCATAGCAACAATGTCGATCAATCCGCAATGTTATCCATGGCAAACAAATGAAATCATTTCGAGCTTTTTCTACCGATACCACCAGATGAGCAGACCGAACAGCGTAATTTTACGAGCCTTCAACATAAAACTCGCAATCAACGGTTCATCACATACCTCATTCTCCCAAACGAGCCATCAGGGCACCATTCAAACCTCCATCGCCCATATTGCCCTCATATCTCGACAAACGGCTCTCTGAGGCGGCCAATCAGGCCCCGGGTCAGGTCATCATCATTCCTTACGGCACGCAGGCCGCCTATTCAGCACTCCCCGCGCGGTGGCACGCTGAAGAAAGTCGTCCACGCCCCGGGGGCTAGCAATACGACCTCCTCATTGGAGCGCAGAGCAGTTCTGCTAAAGAGTGCTCTGGAGAGGTATGCCATCAAAAGCAGTCAGCGCTTGCCGCTTGATAAAGGTCGGAGGATGATAGGTATGCAAGAGCGAGTGACCAGGTAAATTAACTACGTTGAGCAGCATTTGTACCTATACCATGTAACTTCAGTTGACAGCTGAGGAACGTACTAGACTGCAAAACTTGACAAACTGACAAATAACTTCCCAGAGATAAAAGATTTCCACTGACACTTTGACTTGCAGGCGATCGATACTGCCCTCTGGCTGGCTATCAACTTCCGTCGTTCCAAGCAAGGCGTTCTCGGAACTGTTGCTGATTGGTTCCGTCATATATGACGCATCAGAGGGCACTCGTTGATCCCCCTGCACTCATGCCTACATCTCTGCATTGGCCATAACCCGGGGAATCGGAACGCATCAGGCGCCATAATATTACGTCATTGATGGCACGCCCAGAACCCCACAATGCTGCATATTACTGATACAATACTGCCCGCAGCTGTTCTGCATTGGTCGTTCCCCGAGCAATCGACAAGACCGTATGATACTATATCGATACGATTTGTTAGCTTAACGATATCGGTGTAATTACGAGAGGGGGAAGAGAGAGAGAGAGAGAGAGAGAGAGAGAGAGAGAGAGAGAGAGAGAGAGAGAGAGAGAGAGAGAGAGAGAGAGAGAGAGGAGAGAGAGAGAGAGAGAGAGAGAGAGAGAGAGAGAGAGAGAGAGAGAGAGAGAGAGAGAGAGAGAGAGAGAGAGAGAGACCAGCTCGGTGATATTGGTTCGCGGACCGCGCCAGGTCAAAGGTCACACAGTAGGTCACACTGGGTGATTACGGAGCGCCACCACCACGATAAGACTGTTATAGGTCACCTGTGAGACTTTTTTTGGTCGCAGCTTCCAAAGAAGTGAGACGTGATGTGATTAAGTTCGGACTATTGTCATGTAGTGTTCATTGTTCAAACTAGCGCTATGCCCATTGCCCAAACTAGCGGTATGGAGGAAGGGCGTTGTGTCCAAACTGATGTGATGTATCTAATTGAAGCGTGAATTCATTTGGTACAGGTAATGCTTGAATAGAAAAGTGTGCTTCTATGTTTGCCGGTAAATACAGCATTAATCCACTCAAACATTTGATAACACTAATTGAAATTGATCAATCGCATGCCTATTGACATTAGCAAAACAAACCAGACAGACATGATTAGGTTATCATGCGGCTACAACGGAATGCACTAGAGGCGCTTCCACAGGCTTTTGAGCCGATGTCTTTGATTGGAGCGAGCCAGATATATGAGTCCGACAGCAAACAGACAAACCCTAGCTCACAATGACCCGAGCCTTGAACAAGATAAGCGACAAGTCACGGGCTCAGCAAGTGCCCAAAAATACCTTAGCAGCAACGGAAGGCGTCAAACATTCCAGTATTACTGAACTGCCCTGGAATTCACGTCCATCAACTTATAATAACTATCATTACAATGCCACATAAAAACTCACAAGATGATCATATATAGAAATGGTGATTCGGTATGATATCGTGTTTTCCTCTATCACATTTTGCGCTATTGGTTTCACTAACGGCTGCACGGGCGGAGGACAGTTTATTTGGTAAAACTAGATTCCAACGCTTTGCATCTCCATTCACAACAAAGGGCGTATTACAGTCGTTGCTCAAAACTCAACCGCTTTCTGTCCCATATTTTTATCTCATTGCACGGCTGCATGACTGCACTTCGGTTGTGCCAAATTATTGCACGGCATACTGCATAGCCAGCAAACTGTTTCAACAGAGAGAGGACCGGAGGCAGGAGGGGGTAGAGGAAGAGGAAGAGCACTACACAGAGCAGGCAAGGGAGATAGAAGTGAGTGAGTGAGTGAGTGAGTAAGTGAGTGAGTAAGTGAGTGAGTAAGTGAGTGAGTAAGTGAGTGAGTGAGTGAGTGAGTGAGTGAGTGAGCGAGTGAGTAAGAGCGCGCGGCGTCCAGTGTTTCCCACCTGTCCTCGGCGGAGAAGCCCAGGTTCTTATTCAGTCCGTGTCGGATGTTGTCGCCGTCCAGACCGTACGCCGGTATACCGTTGGAGACCAGGAACTCCTCCAGAGCGAACGAGATGGTCGTCTTGCCGGCACCAGACAGACCTGGGGGGGGGGGGGGTAAAAGGGGTGACACCGACGAAGGGGATAAAAGAGGCTGAAGAAGGGTCAGCTTGCCCCACCTCTCACCGTCTCTCACATCACTTCTTTCACTTCTCACCTCCCTCTAATCACTCACTTGTCACCGTCTCTCACATCATATCCCGCACGCCACCTGTCTCACATCACAACCCGCACCCTCCTCACTCTAACCATTCTCAACGACTCTCATCTCTCAGAGTATCTACTCTAACCATTCTCACAGTCTTTAAATCTAACCAAATCTCACCGTCTCTCACACCTTCGGTCTCTCATACGGCTTTCATCTCTCAGTATAACCACTTTCACAGTCTCTCACTCTAAACACTCTCACCGTCTCACACTCTAACCAAATATTACCCTCACTTACACAGCTCCCGTCTCTTATTCTAACCACTATCGCCCTCTCTCATCAATCTCACACCACCCGTCTCTTACACAGCTCCATTCTCTCACTCTCTAACCACTCTCACCATTCCTCACCTCTCATTGTTTCTTATTCTAACCAGTCTCACTGTCTCCCACTGTAACCACTCTCACCGTCTCTCATTCTAACCAGTCTCACCGTCTCTCATTCTAACCACTCTCACCGTTTCTCACCTGTGAGCCAGATGGTACACCCTCGGAACTCGCCCCTCTCGCCCATGATCTGACCACGCTTGTTGCGCGATACATGGCCAGACTGGAATGTGACATTGGTCGCCTTCTGTGAACGCAGAAGAACGAACGTCGCTTAGTTGAATGGTATACGTGTTTGGGAAAATATGACGAGAGGCGAAAAAGAGAGCGGAAAACGGGAGGAGAGGGGGTAGCGGAGGGTCGGGATGTATGAGGAATAACGGATCCAGCATAAGATGCTCATCTGGCTGGCAACTCATTCCACACGGCCCTCTCAGTCTCTCGATTACCATCAGCTTCTGTCTCATTTTGGTGTGAGTTGTATTCGGGCAAGGTTGGTGCAGCGCGATCTCACTTTTCTTCATTCGGTGTTCTCTGGTCGCATTAGGTCCACCGATATTGTTGGGATGTTTGGATTGTATGTTCCATGTAGGCGGACTCGAGGACGGGCGATACTGCACGAACCCACCGCAAGGGTGGAAACGATAAGGGCCGGAATGTTTTGTCGCTTACCGAGACAAGTGAACGGCATGTACGAACATGTGGCATCTGCGGACCTATTCGCCAGTCGAGGAACTTTTATGAAGTCTCTTAGAGCCTTCTTAATCTCTCTGACATGACTATACGTACCTATATTTGACAACCCATGAGCACATGTATTTATAGGTTTTAGTATCGGACTGCGTCTGTAAATGGGTGTCATACCTGTGGGCGTTCAAATAAATACATACAATTGGAAAAATAGCCGCAACATTGCGATCAAACTTAAAAAAAAAAACAGTGCTCAAGGGTATGATAAGACTGGTTTTGGCATCCATACGAGGCAAACGCATCTGGCCAAAACAGCCAACCAAAGGTGCAAACTAATCACATCAGATCCCTCACAGTGTCACTCTGGTAATTTAGCTTTGGCTTTCTCAGAAACGCAAATATCTGCATCCTCAAAACAAAGTTAGCACTGCAAGTTGCGACCGTATGAATCTCTGATAAACCATTAACCAATAAGCACAATGACTGTAAACGCCTCAGATAAATCCAATTATGAACACCACACCCAAAACAAATCAAAGCAGATAAAGAACAACACCAGTCACCAGGACAATCCAATCTAGTCGTTGTCGATATGTCGGCACCGACAGCTCAGCTAGAGACGGTGATGAGGGGCGTTTCGGGCTCAGTTATTGCCCCCCGGGGGTTATTGCGGACCAAGTGCCCGTGGATATTGCCCCGGTCGAGAGCGAGGCCAGCATACAGACGGGGTCGAGTGGGGAGAGAGAGGTGGGAAGGAGAGGTAGAGGGTGGGGGTTGGAGGTTGAGCTACCAGTCCACACGCACACCAAGAACGCCCACATGGTGTTACCAGGTGTAGAAATTTCCGTGGAAGAAAGCAGCAAATTTTACTAATAAAAAGACTATAACGGGTGACATTTAGTATAGGTACCTGTAACTGGTGACATTCAGATATTGTCCGTGGCAAATAGTTATGTTCTACTGGCGTGATTCAAAGTCGGAGACTATACATATACACCATTTTCGATGCATTTTAAGACAAATGAAGTCCAATTTAAAACAGTTGATTTCTGAATTAAAACAATTGACAGGCGGGTTAAAACACGTGACATTCAGCTTAAAACAACTGACATGCTATTTAAAATAAATGACAAGCAAATTAATATAAATGACATGCAATTTAATCATAAAATTATAGTTACTTCAAACTATGCTGAATAATTACGTTTTAGTGCAAAAAAAATAACAATGTGTTCGACTACATATTTGCAATTGTGACAGTTCGTAGAACTTTAACATAGCAATGCTTCATTGGATTAAAAATTCAAAATGACTGGCGTTAGAGCTTCCATACGAAGACATTGAATCCTACACTACATACACTCAACACTGTCCTTCTCCTTCTTAACCCGCATCCCGCTGGGGGGCCTGGATTTCCACGCCCTGCTGGGGGGGGGGGGGTGTTTGAACACCCTTCCCCTTCTAACTCGGCTCCTGGGCTCGAAGCGATACGCGGCAGGCACTGTGCGAAAGAGTGACAAACAAAATGACGGAACTACTTCAGTCACTTTTTTGCTCAGGTCAAGGTCAGGTCACCAGAGGTCATTGAAGGCCAAATGTTGCAGATTTTCAGGCCAAATGTCAACAATTTTTAGAAGCCGACACATAACTCGGGAACCAATAGAGCTACAGCGCCGAGGAAAAGCGCATTTGATAGCCCACTTAACGCTCTCTTGGAATATTTCTCCCTGCATATTTGATCTAACGTCAACGTTCTAGCCTGCAGGTGGCAAAAACTGCCAAAATGGACGATTTTTGCGGACAGTTTTTTTTTGCACTAACTTTTGACTCAAGCCTTGCACGAGCTAAACTTTACCTGCATCGTGTTCCTCTCGTCAACACGCATCGAATGAACTATAATTTGACCTTGAAAGGTCAAATTGAAGAAAAAAACCTCAGGCCAAGGTTTTGACCTGACCGGAAAGGGTCATGCTGCGTATCAGCGGATCCGTATCGTGGAGCTTAACAAATCTAAGGCGTTTTCATCGCTCTAACATTCCTCTATCCAAAGTTATTTGCTAAAACCTGCTAGATACCCTTCGTGACCTGACATGACCTCATGGGCATAAACAAGGGTCACGGGTGCTATGTATTTTTATGTTCATTGGGTCAACTGTCAACGTTACTTGTAATTCGGTGTTTGAAAGTGTTTAGAGTGACTTTCGTCCAAAAGAGGCAGAGGCGTCTTTCAATTTTCTCCCTACAAATAATCATGTAGTCGAACACAACATTTTTTTTTTTAATTTGCAGCAAAACATGATTATTTAACATAGCTTTACGTACCTATATTTGTATGATTAAATTGCATGTCATTTATATTAACTTGCTTTTCATTTATTTTAAATCGCATGTCAGTTGTTTTAAGCTGAATGTCACGTGTTTTAACCCGCCTGTCAATTGTTTTAATTCAGAAATCAACTGTTTTAAATTGGACTTCATCTGTCTTAAAATGCATCGAAAATGGTGTAGAGATTCCAGCATTACTAACCAGGACGTGCAGAGGCGTTGTGATAATTTTGGATAACACCTTATAGTTGGGATTTTTATAAGCAGGTATATCTGGCTTAGTTTTTTTTTCAGCCACTGAGAGTCCCAGTTAAAACAATTGACAGGGTATTTGCACTGCTGTTTACGCTTATAAAGCTCCTGAGCATCATGATTCATGACTTTACCCTATGACCCTTTCCGAGTCCCCCACACTACACAACGTACCAGACGAGCTTCAATAGAGCCAGGATCCCCGACCAAGAGATCGAACTGTTTACGCCAGGCAAACCTTGCAGGAGCTATATTTAGAGCACGAATTCAACCCGCTCTTTCAACCATGCACCACACGGCAGGCACTAGTTCGCGGCTTCGTTACATAGTTAGGCTTGTCGGTTATCAAGGAACCACACATTACACGCTAGCGATGCTATTCACAAGGTCACTGGATTCGTTCATGCGGGTAAGACATCATACGGAACAAGCCCATTAACGCTGAGTTTCATAGCTATTTTGCACCATGTGAATTCGCTCAATGACAATTACCAAAGCGTCCAAGGCTATTTCAAGTAGATAATGGATCTAACACAGACATGCTTCTTCTATCTTTGAAACGCCGGGTCAAGTCAATAAGATACAAGGGGGAAAATGTTTCATCCCATCCGAGCACACAGAAGAAAGCGTAGACCTACACAAACACTCCATTGCACTCAGCCATGAGCCAGACACGTATCCCCAATAACCTAGTGCGGTTGACCCCCCCCCCCCCCGCCCCCCGCCCCCCTACCTCCATCTAGCCACAGGTGGCGTCAATCAACCCCCTCCCCTCCCCACTTGTCCCCACCCACCCGATACGTGGACAGGTCATGTCACCATTCAGATCGTGTCCTGATGTTCTCGGGTACCTGATCAGGTTGGTTTCTCGAGGATTGAACAACGTAGTGAGGATACTGTCATAGGCACTGATTTTGAACACTGCTGTTTGGGACCACCATGATCTGCCGTACCAAAAGCTAAGTTCAGCAAGCCGATAGCGTGTGTTCTAGCCTGTCGAAACGACTAACAGAAATGTAGATGGCATTGGAGGCCTCTGCCTTATTAAAGCTACGGATAAGAAAAAAAAACTACTGAATTTCTCATTCGTGTTAATGGCTTGAGAAAAACGAATATACGAAGAGATTGTTACAACTTTTTTAGCTGTCAGGGAACGATAGCAAAAAAAAAAGTACATCTGAGACATGCGGAAGGCTGCTAGCGAAACGCATGTCCGAAGAACAAACTTGCGCAAAACGGAGCGGGCCAGCAAAGACGCAAGACACCACCTTCAATTCACCAATGCTCAGTGCTCACCAGCCCAGTACATTGACCGAGAAACTACTCGCAACATTCGTTTCAAAACCACTCAAGAGGAAAATCGGCCGAAGCGTCGGACTCACAACAAATCGGCGAGATACCGGTAGGCCGACAGTTTCCACCACATTAACTATATTTCCACCATTGCGAATTGTACGTCACCGTGAAAAATCGTACAAATCTCTACCCGCCTCGCTTGCTGCGTTTCAGTCCCATTTTTTTTTTCACATAGCCGGGCCTCACGCGTCCTCGATTAGGTACGACGCTATGTGTCCAATGTCCATGGTGGCTATCAGCAAGTAAACTCCTGTCCTTGACGACAAGTACCCATCAGCGAGACGGCCAGACGCTGAGGGACGCTGCTTTGGGCACTTGAGAGGACATCTTGACCCGGTGCCCTAGTCCTGTCCATGTTTGCTACGATGTGGACTTTTCCCCACAAACCTTTCGCCTCCAAACACAATGGGTTTATTACCGTATTGGGGTAAGTTTTATAGAAGTTGTGATGAGGGGGAGGGGAGGCAGGTTTTGAATACTGTGCATTTTGAGTGTATCTATGAGTCTCTATGAGTACTACACACACCTCCACAGATTATATTGATGAGGAAGTGGTTTACAGTGTCGCGTACAGGCGCAGTGAATCATAAGGAAAAGTTTGTCGCGTGGCCTCAAGCTGACACG